TGTCTCTCTGATAGATGATGGGGTCTCCACCAAGGAACGTCTCCCGTTCTCTCTTGGCAAAACTAGTCACAGAATAATTCTCCAAATACCTGTAAAAAGGGCTGTAGGGGCACAAGATGCAAAGCTGCAACTAAAAATATACAAGAGCCACCATTAACATCATATTTATTGTTATTTAGTTGCTCAGTAAAACATATACAGATATATACAATATGCATGAATACAGAAGACTGCACTTTACATATTTAAAAAAGAAAAAAATAACACTCACTTTTCATGAGTTTTTTTTTGTCACAGGAGGGAGGGGGGGAAAAGGAAGATTACAGATTGCCCTCCACATTAATATCTTACATGTGCAATAACATTTGTCAGGCTGAGCTTCCTATGCAGTGGGGATTTTGCTGGGGGTTGGGGTTGGAGGTCTTCTCCAGGAATTATTCAATACATTATTAAACACCCTTTTGTTCTAGAAATTTGTTTTTAAAGCTGAAATGGTAGGGGAAGGGGGTAGTAATCACAGACGAAACTTAAATGCCGGGTATCTTCTGACATTTATTTTTACCCTAGAATCTCTCTGCTGAAAGAGTTGGTCTGATGTTCCTTCCTTATTCTTGATTTCTTTTCCTCATCAGACAAGCACTTCTCGGGTTGTGTCCCTTTGGACTCTTCTGGCTGAAAAATGACAAAATTTAGGAATTCCAGGAAAGGAGATGTGCAGCTTGCACAGAATCAGACCGATACCCCAAACCAAGCTGCTAATTTGATTTGGGTCATATTTTTATTGGAACATTTGTTTTTCCAAAGGAACAGCCCGGCCGGGCAATGGGCCATGCAGGCTGCAACCGGACAACCGTGAGGAGGGAGCTTAATGCCTAAAAACTCGACTCTGCCCCGCACATGACTTGGTTGGGGGTGACAAGCTTCCCATCATCCTCAACCAAATCAGTGGAAGCTCAGCGCACCCCACTCACCGCTCTGCAGAACGTTTGCTTGCAAAGGGGGTTACCAGAAAGGAAGGCCAGCTGCTGAGATGCTCTGATTCCCTTCCTTGTTGCTGGTTGTTGTAAAACAGTTATTTCTTGAGCAGTTACAATATTGCGATGGAAAATGTTCACCAAACTAGTTGAACAAATTCTTCATCTACTGGATGGACTTTGAAGTTTTCATTTTATTATTGTTTTCACTTTCTTATATGTCTATTTTTTGTTATTCTTTTGATGTTTGAATTCCATTTGCATTTAGCATTGAATTTTTTAAAATTAAATTTGGTTGGTTTGCTTGTTTACTTTTTATATATGTTCTTCTTCTATGGCAGACAGAAACGGGTCCAAGCCCTTCTGGCCTCAGACTCTGCTACAGGTGTGCATACTTTCTGGAATCTCAAAAAGGGGACTTTTCTCTGTCGCACATTTCCCAAATGCAAACCTAGGAAATTCTGAGGTTGTGGGGACTGGAACAAAAATTAATCTGTAGTGCCAGTGACATTCAGAAAAAGCGGGCTGAAGTAAACCCTTTTTTCCCCAGCAGTCCAGAGTAGCAGCAGTTCCAGGGAACACACCTACCTACAGTAAGTCTTTTGCTCTTGCTCTGTGAAAGTGATCCTGTAAAGAGTTGGACACCTTGCACTGAATCTGCCCCAATGATGGAAGATCTCTGTGGGTATGAATTTGAGCCTTCCCTGCTTGGTATCTCCACACCTCTCTTCTGGGTCCCCTGAAAGCTGCACCTCTGGCCGTGCCATCTTTGCGTGGAGAGAGAATGATAGCCACTCAGCCTCCAGATGTTAACAAAGCTATACCTTCCACTAAGGCAGGAACAATATAAAGAAGATGCAGCAGACGCTGCTTCGCTTTCCACCACTCTGCAAGGTGGTCGACACTGGGAGGAGAAGCACAGCGAAGAGAGAGAAGCATTTCTTGATCAAATCAGTCAATGGTGAGAGGGAAGAGCTCCTAGATGTAGAGCTAAGCTGCCAGGAAGAGACGGTTCTGCATCCTCCTCTGGCAAAAGGCTCTGCCTGTTTCCTCCCCACACCCCCTCCCCACCACTCCAGAAGAATAGAAGATGAGGCTTTGTGACAGAAAAGGAACCCAGCAGCAGGGACCAGCAAAGGGAGGGGGGAAGGGAACATTTTGCATCCCTCTTGACCCTCCCTCCCCCCCCCTTTTTTTTCTTCTTCTGGAAAGACAAAGCACAGGCTGAATCCTTGATTGAGCATTAACGGTTTGGCTTGGCTTGCAGGAGACAGAAAGCTCCCTGTCATTCTACGGTTATAGGGTGGAAATTTCACTTCAAGGGTTTTTTGATGGGCTGTTGGTTTATTTTCTTTTTCCTGAAGCTATTCTTCAGGATTTCCATTTTGATCACTGTAGAACAAAGGGGGAAATGCATTTAAAAAAATCTTGTCTTATGATGATGATATACATAGAGACAGAAAAGGCCTCTGACTAGCAATGGATGTCAAGGTCAGGCTGAAAGGCACCCACCTTTTTGAGCAGAAACATTTTACAGGTCATGGGTCAACTGCAGAAGGTCAGCAGTAGGGAATATATTATGGTGGGAGATTGGAAAAATAAAAAATTAAGGTGAGTTTATTTTAAATTACCCCTTTCCAGTCTCTATGCCACTAAGCAGGTACCAACCTAGAAAAATAGTCCAACTAGCTGGAGTGGCCCTTTAAACATAAAAAGAAAAGAAAATAATTCTTTTTTCCCCCTTCTTCTTCTTCTTCAAGTTAGGGCAGCCACAAAAGTCCCAAATCTGTTGGAGATGTCTGAGTGCAGGGATCTCCAAGTCGGCACTGCAGTCCGGCCCTTGGCCTCTCCCATGTCGTCTGTGCAGTGGACAGAAAGACACTGCAAGTGGCTGCCCGTCTGTGCCGTGGCTGAGGTCTTGCTTGGGGTGAGATCATGGGCTGCAAAGAGAGAGGGGTTGTGGTCAGTTCAATACAACAAACACACAGAAGAACAATCATGGAAATGGCTCCCTGCAGTGTTATCCCATGGCCACTTTTGGTTTTTAGCAAAGTCCTCCTTAGACAAAGGAAGGGAAAAGGTCTGCCTATGGCTGAAGAAGTGACAGAAGAAGAACAGAGGAGCAGCTTTCATGTGCATCATTGGGTACAGAAAATAACAAAGACCTTAACACAATGGAGCAAAGTTCTGCTTAGATCTGTCCCTAAAAGCATGGAAATCTGAATCCCCTGTCCTGCATCCTTTATCCCTAAAAGTAAACAACATCAATACACTCAGGTAGCAAGCTCTGCAGATTACACTATGAAAAATGAGTATTTCACAACCAGGCGTGACCTAAAAGGCTGTGCTCCATTTGCAAAAAAAAGTATGGTGGTTTCCAGATGGGAAGAGTAAGAACATGGATGTTCATCTTCATCTCCCTTTCCCAAACGAGTCATCTGCTAATCAAACAGATTAACACTTGAAACCCATGGTCACAACAGTGGAAAAAGAAATCTATTCCCCTAACAAGGAGCACTGAGAGCACATGCAGGTTTGACCCATTTTGTTTTTCAAAGAAAACATGAAATCCAAGTGCCTTGGGAGTCATAAGCGCACACATGTAGCTACAGACACCATGTTCTCCTTACCAAATGCACAAGTGATACATGTGGTAAATTCCTCTGACTTTGCATAATTTATCCTAATTTATCCTTGCTTTTTCAGTTTGGGAGGGGCTTTGCCCCTGGAAATTATTTTCAGCCCATATCCCTCCCCGTCCCCCCCCCCAACCTGGCCATGCAAGATTTCCCTCATACAGATGGCCACTGCTAATCTGCATCTCTTCCCCACCTCTCCTGGGAGCATCTTGCTGAATCAGACGTATGTATGTGCCCATGATGTCACTGCCGTCAGCCTTTCTACCCCCACAGTTGCCAATTAAGCAGTAGAGGGGCAGTGAAAGGCTGAACATAACAGCATGATGCCACATGTCTGCTTCAACAATATTCTCAGGAGAGCCTGGGAAGGGGAGGTAACAGTGACAGTCATGTGTAAGATACCAACTCTTGTCTCCAGTTTAGAAGATTTCTGGAAGGGCTATACTTTCAAGCACACCATTTCGAGCCCTGATAGACAGATACCTTGATCTCCTCAACAACAACTGAGACTCTCACATTAGTGCACTTTGTCTGTGCTTCTCCAGAACTGCAGCACAGAAACTGACGGGAACGACTTGTCCTCAACAGATTTGAATGGTGAAAGGTGTGTTGGCTGAAGGGCTGCCCAACAGTTCTCAAATGCCCAATGAACTCTGGAGACAAAGTGTGAGCACACATCTCAAATCAGTCAAGCACCCACTCCTACAATGAGGGAGTCAAGCAACCAGGAATGCTCCCACCATTTATAGACTATACCCTTTGAAATGGCACACCAGCCTGGCCCAAGCCCCAAACCTCAGCAACATGGTGGGGGAGTAGCTGCAATGAACACATCATGCACAGAACAGGAAGGCACAGACAGTGTCCTTGCCCCATGGGATCCTTCAAGCGCTTCATTTTCTTCTTGCGGGACTAGGCGCTTTCACTACATCTAGTAGTGGAAAGGATAAGTAAAAAATGTAAAGAGTAAGAACAACAACCAGCTCAGCTCCTGAGATCTCAGTCCTGCCAGAATGTGCCAGGACTAACAGCCATCCAGCTCTGAGTGTTAAATATGCATTGTTTGCCCCTCGGTGGTAGGGTTTTGCAGAGAACGGGGAGTCAAACATTCAAGTCTCAAGAGGGTGCTCTAAACGGCAGACTGTACTTTTTTAAATTTTTATCCCCAACCATTCTATCAGACCTAGCCATCCCCTCCCCACTTCACTGATAGGTCAGACTATGTGTGAGGCTTCTGGGCAAAAATGCAGCTGTCTTTCCTGCCCACAACTTCACCTGACACCGTGCGTATAACAGAAGGCCAAAAAAAAAAAAAAGGCAACTGCAGATTTGGCTGCAGAAAGTGTGACCTCTTCTCACAGGGTGACTGCTCCGAGTTGCCTTCTAGCATCAGACCTCCAAGCTGCTCCTTCAACAGCTCAGAGTCAACCTCTCCACTGGTGGAACGCCCAGGCCCAGTGCCTGCTGATTGTGCTGCTCAGGTCAGAGGCATGACAACCAATTGATAATGACACTATGTTCATAAATTGTCCTTTTATTGTTTCAAACTAGGCTTTTAATTTCAATATATTTTACTAGTCAATCTTGCCATATATTTAAACTGCATTTTTTCCGTTTTTTCAGGGAGCCACCTCAGGCTACATCCTCAAGAGAAAGATGTGATACAAATCCAATAAATGTAGAAGTGGAGGGCAAGGGCCTTGGCACAACCTCGCCTCCTTCTGGGAGGGAAACCAGCCAATATGGACCTGTCTGAGTCTCCCAGTGCCAGCGTGAAGGTAACCCACCTCTCCAAAGCACTGCCAGCCATCGCAACAGGCATCTGATACATCACCGCATGCAAAAGCGGTTGAATGATGAGGTCACAGACAGCTTACCAAAAACAACGGGGATGCAAATCTAAGGCCAAAAGCCTGTTCCCTCTTGTTAAATAGACACTGCAACCTACAGAGAAGGAAGAGGAGGGATAGCACAGAGTCACAGACATGCGCACGCGCACACACACACACAGAGAAGGGGAAGGTGCCAGTGTGGTCAAGGTCTGTAGCCAGGGCCACCCGGCATTGTCAATCTGATCTCATAGCAGGAAAGGACAGCAAGTGGCCGTAAGGCTCATCCTTTGCACCTCTTCAACAGCTCTGACAAAGCCCCAGCTTTTGCCTGCAGTCCTTGCCTGAGCCACAGTTCCAGCCATCCGTCTGCACAGTCCAGTGCAGACCTGGCTGATGGCAGTCGGTCCTCAATGCCCAGCCGAGTGTGAAGCTCCCTGATTAAGGCTGAGGCTGAAGGTTCCGGCCCCATATTCTGGGACACCCCCCCTCCCTTCCTGCATCCCTCCCTGCACTTCCTCGCAAGGGCCAAGCTCTCCGAGTGAGAGTGGCTCCCAGGCCTGCATCTTGTTATTAAAATCAGTCCCTTAGGACAAGATCTTTTTCACCAAGTCTCCCCCATGACAGTTTGACATATTGGTTTGGACACCTAACTGTGCATCTGTGCACACCATAAAACACTCTGCTACAGAGGGCAGAATGCTAACGCCAGGCTACAAACTGGCTTCTATATACACTGAGCCATTTGTTTTCGCAACGGCATTTGAAAACAAGAACAGGCAGATTGCACGGAGATACGTCTGTGGCGGACATAACAAACATCTGATGTGATGATGCACACTTGCCACTGCCCCACAGACCACTGTCTAGAGGGCTGCAGAGATTTTGGGGCTTCTTATCAGGAACCAGGGATGCGTGCTCTTCTCTCTAACATCACAGAAACGACATTCTTCCCCAGAAGGGGTTCCTTATGAGCTGCTCACTTACATCACAGACAGTCCTTTGAAACATTGTCCAGGCGGACTTTCTTGCTGATCAGACTGCCGCAAAAGGTTCTGGATGGGCCGGAGATGATTTTTTCTGTTACTGAAACTGGTGCTTCAGACTCACATAGCTCTTATGTACACGATTCAACAGACTTTCACCGTACTCACCGCCCATCCACCTCTCAGCTCAGCATGCCTTAAGCCAACAAGGAGAGAGACATCTGAAGCAGCATTGTGTCAGATGTTTGCTGTGTTCCAAAGACCACGCAAGAATATTATGACTGAGCACATATTGTTTTTCTTTTGTAAAAAGGAAAGAAAAAAGGCAGAAAGGCTCTCTAACACAATTGTGGCTCATGGCAGAGTGTCCTCCCTGTGCCAGTCAATAAAGTACTCACCATCACTCACCATTGGAGAGGGGGGGTCCAAATAATCCCCCTCCCCCCTAATATACACACATGTTGGGAGCAAAGCCCATTTAGCCTTAGTGTTGTCTGTGTAGCCAGCCCCTCTGCTTCAACTTGTCAGGCCTGGCAAGAGTGCTCTAATCTTCAAAGGCTCTTCCTTCACAGACAGGATGATTAATTGAGGTGCTTGGGATTCTAAAGAGAGCTTGTATTAGACCATGTTGCAAGAGGTTGTTTTTGTTTGTTTGTTTGTTTGCTTGTGGGGCTCCAAGAGCTGGCAATAAGGCTTGTGGTTCCTTGTCTTTTGCAAAAATAATAAAAAGAAAGTGTGGCAGAAGAGCAAATAAGGGATCTGCTACCACCAGCCAAGCCTTTAGATTATATTCCTAGCAGGTCCTTTCTGTTTGTGATTCCAACCAGAGTGGAGGAAGACAGTTTGAGGGGACGCCAGAGCAAGGAGCAAGTCCTGCTTCCCACAAGCAGTGCTGGAGCCATTTGGTGCAAGTGAAGACAGGGTCAAGAACACCACAGAGCAGCCTCAGAGGCTTATTTTCTACCAAGAAGCAACTTTTATACGAGGTGCCTGGAATGCAGAAAAGACTGGCAGGATTTATAAAGGAAGAACCTGTACGTGGAAGAGGGCATTTAAAACTTGTTGACATTAGAAAAGGCAACTCAGGATTGGCTTTGCTATTTGGGGATTTTGAGACAAGCTATTCTTGGAGCTGTCAGCCAATAAGGGAAATCAGTGCATGTTTACAAGTGAGAAAGCAACAGCTCAAGATCACAAAACAGGACAGTATAGGCTACTGGCAGGAAGCCATTTCATATGAAAACTCACTCCTTAAATGACCTGCATGCACAGATGTGTACGAAAAGCAACTGTGGATAGTCCTTTCCATGCATATTCCCACTCCCAATCCCCATGGGAACAGGAGAAAAAGAGAAAGCTCCTGTTCTTCACCACCCAGGAAACCTTTCATCAGCTCCACCAAGGAAAACCTGCTACTTTCCATGCATGAGAATCATTCACTTTGCTTACAATGGAAAGAAAGGAAGGAGTAAAGGAAGAGAAAGCG